ACAAACAAACCTGACATATACATATTATCTATATACATACATTACATTATTTATATATCATACATACAATAACAGAAGATGATGAAAATGTTGCATCATCGTATACCAAATGCTATTGAAACTTCCTCGTACTCTGTATCCCTAGTATAATTTTTAGACAAATATCTCTAGCTAGAGCAATAAGGCCTTTACGTTTTACGTCTGTGATTTTAAATGTTTTAAACGTACTCCAATATCACTATATTTTCTATTTCATGTAATTTTTTTTTCATTTGTACAGATGGAAATTAATACCTATATACGAGCGCGAAAGACTTACAGCGTCTCCGAAAGGATTCTGGATGTTATACTCAGACTTTGTGGCCACGTTCAGTTTGCTGGAAATGGTGCACCTAGACGCGGAGACCAGTCGTGCGGAGCCATCCTTGGCAGACAAACACAAATGGCAGATGAAGATGCACCAAGGCGGCTGGAGGCGAGGAGTCTCTGCAGGTGGATGCAGAAACTTCGTCAGTTAGTATAAAACATTGATTTATCATCTAAACTAGATTTCGACCAACGTAAAGTGACCATACGTTCCCCTTTCAGCGGAACAGTGCCCCTTTTAAACCTCGTGTCCCGCTGTCCCCAAACTACGTAACAATGTCCCGCTTTGATTAAACGACGTGACATTAATTTTTTTTAATTGCGCGAATGCGAAAGATGTACATATATAGTACATAAAGCAAGCTTACCAGAAATTAGTTATCTAAGTCACGGAACGAATCAGCGTACCTCACGAATGTTTTTATGTGCTTTTGTCGTATCTTTGTCTTTGGTTTTTCAACGACTTTTTAGCCGTAGCGCCATCTATGAGAAATCTATGAAAGTATTTCGTCACGCAGTTAAATACCTTTACAGCTACCAGCCCCGGCTAGAGATGTCGCTATTCACTGTATTTAAATTTTTATTGAATTGATATTCAATTTTATGTGAAATTACTCCACTAGTTTGTTATAATTATTAATACGAAGATTTAGGAAAAATTCCCTCCATCCGGCCGGATTCGAACCGATGTCTCCTAGCAAACCGTGTTAGACGTTATGCCAACTAAACCGCGATTAGTTATTTTTTTATAATTTTTTATCATTCAACATTTTTAGTTATTTTTTAATTTAATCATTGAACATTTCGTAACTATCTTAAATAAATACGTGTTTCGTTTTTAAAACAATAATAAATGTACAGGTGTCCCGCTCTGAGGGGAAAAAATAATGGTCACATTAGGTAAGTAGGGTGTTGTTATGAGTGTTGATATTGTTGTGATAACTTCCTTCGTCCAACAACTAAGAATTCGTAGGTAAACGAGAATTTGATGTATAAATCAAGTTTATTGAATGTGGATCTTTCACCACCATGATATTGAATTATTTTTTGAGAAATTATTCCACTAGTTTGTTATAATTATTAATACAAAGATCGAACACTCAGAAAAAATTCCTTCGATCCAGCTGAATTCGAACCAGACAAACAATTAGCAAACTGTGTCACGAAACGTCACGAATTTTTGTATAGAATACGATTTGTAATACAATTCATCACAACACGTTATTAAAAGTTATTCAAAATGAATTCGTTAAAAGATTACATTTGTGCATCCAAGAAAATGGAGCTCATTTCGAGCAACTAATTAGTTAGATTACAATTTTTTTCGTTTTATTTAAATACGTTAAGATTTTATGGTTTTTTTTTATTTAATTAACCAATTTTGTGAGAGGGATTTTATTCTTATAATTAACCCTATCGATCGATGCAATAAAAGTGCAGGGTGCATTTTTTTCAGATTAAACCGAGTTCGATTCCCGCGTGTTGCTAGAAATTATCGAAAATCTATGAATGCAATTTTATTTCTTTTACAAAATAAAGGAATGTTTCCTTTAAGTAAAAATTTCTATCTCCAGTATTTAGAGTACTTTCCCTCCAGGTGGCATTATAAATTTCCACCCTGTATAACCAAAAATAGAGACGAAATAAGGGCCATCTATCCCTGGCAACTTATCAGGCAAATGGACCTTATATCACTTTTAAACATCAACTCTCGTTTGCGTTGAAAGCACAAATTAGAAAGCTGAAATAGTACAGCGCCAACAGCTGACCTGTGTGTACGTCTCCGTATATTCCAAAAATATTCTGTATTTATTGCAATAAAGATAATATCTCAAACTATGTGGGGCTGTTCCATTCGGTGGTGTGGGAAAAATAACAAAACATCTAATTACAAAACAAACGGAATCACATTTCATCGGAAACTAAATATTAATTTAAAAATTAATTTTCCAATTTGCGTCCATTATAGCAAAGCTCAAGTTAAACTGGTCGATTTGAAGTGAAACAATTGACGACATCCTTTAATTGTTTCGAATTCCGGCTGGCCAATCGGAGCGCAGTTGTCACCGTAATGATATGGCAGAATAGTTTTCAAACAAATTAAATAACATTTCGTCTCTATTTCTGGTTATATACTCGATTACTCAAAATCAGCGTCGCAGTCTTTACTTGGCTATGACATTAGCAGAGTGGATCTTTTTACATACGCCACAGCTGCACACATGACATTTATGAATTGTGAAAAGTTATGAAATTGTCTATTGAAAATTTCATGTTTTCCTTCGTTATTTTTTTGTAACTTTTATGTTTTTTGCTTTTCTTTATTTCTGTGTATTTTTGTGTTGTAGCGTTGTACGTATAGATGATTTCTATTCTATTCTACAGGAAAGTCGCGAAATCAATTTGATTAAGTATACCGTCTCTTTTCCCAGGCTTTTTTCACATGAATCCGCAAATCCAAGTAGTGTTAAACGAACCTGATACCGTAGTGGTATCGCTCAACCAACACAGCACAATGGACCCCAAAGTTATTGGCTTCAGCAGCTACAAGATGCCCAAGGCCCTCCTCGAAGTAGCGCCACCGATCCTCTTCAAGAGAATCAAAAGTGCCGTCAACTCGCAGTACACCAACAGTCGTCAAGTTAGTCACAGGTATGTTGTGCGGCATTGTATCACATTAAAACTACAAAAGCGGGGCAAGCGTTGAAGTCGTAACTGAGTACGTAAATGTTCTTGTGAAAGCAAAGCTTGTGAAATGCTACGCGAAGTTCTAGCTCATGCGAATTTAGTTCTGGTTATTCCATTAGGAGAATGTTTCACACAAGCGACCATCAACAGACGCTTAGGTACTAATAAAATTGCAGATGCCAGTTGGAAGCAGGAGCGTACCTTATCATACCGACAACGTTTGAGCCACGAGAAGAAGCCAACTTTTCCCTAAGAGTATTTTCCAACAAGCCTTTGAAAATGAAGATGTTAGACTACGCGCCGCAGATGCTGAGAACAGCTGTGATCAAAGCACCCCGTGTGGGTGAAACGAGTAGTTTTGCGCAGTACGAAGCTGTGTTTTTGCAACTAGCCGATGAGCATAGAACCATAGACGCCTTCGAGTTGCAAGAACTGTTGGACGCTTGCTTGCCGAACGATTACATTAAGAGCTGCGCTTCGATCGATACCTGTAGGCAAATTGTGCTCTCTATGGATGTATCCTTTGAATAATTCCTAATTATAACCACCTATCAGCGTATATATACCCAGAAATAGAGACGAAATTAGGGCCATCCATCCCTGGCAACTCATCAGACAAATAGGTCTTATAACACTTTTATCACTTTTAAATATCCACCCTCGTCTGTGGTGAAATCACAAATTAGAAAGCTAAAGTAATACAGCGCCAACAACAGACCTGTGTCCGTATATTCCAAAAATATTCTGTATATATTGTAATATAGATAATATATCTAACAATGGGAGGGCTGTTCCATTCGGTGGTGTGGGAAAAATAGCAAAACATCTAATTACAAAACAAACGGAATCATATTTCATCAGTAATTAAACAAGTAATATTTCAATTTTCAATTTCAATTTATAGCAAAGCTCAGTTAAACTGGTCGATTTGGAGTGAAACAATTGACGACACCCGTCAATTGTTACGAACTCGGGCTAGCCAATCGGAGCGCAATTGTCACAGTAATGATATGGCAGAATAGTTTTCAAACAAATGAAATGACATTACGTCTCTACTTCTGGTTATATACTCGATGCCACCTAAGTACAATATTTAATTTTAAGTAAACCAGTCTATTTTTGCGGATGTTCTGTTTAAGCAAGTCTCAACTTACAAATTTTCTACACATCGCACTGCTATTACAATAGTGTCGTAACTCAAAATTTTGGAAATAAGAAAATGCAATTTGAAAATTTGAAAAAAATGCTTAATGAATATTATTACAAATAATGTGATTATTTTTATTTATAACAACTTGTATACAACTTTAATTTACATAGTGTTAATTTGTTTCATACATTTTTTTAAAATTTTCGATTATCACACTATTGTAACAGCAGTGCGATATCATTGCTGTAGGGCTAGCAAGACAAGGCGCTACCGGCGCGAGAGCGACATAAAGCATGACATCTCTAAGCGAGATTAGCAGTATCTCGCGGTTTATGTCGCTCTTGCGCTAGTCGCACCCTATCGTGCCAGCCCTACTGACCGTAAAATTTTATTCTAGCCAAAACAGTCCTTACTCAAAAGTATGAAATTATTTTCTCCCTTTTATTTAATTTAAATTTGTTTGGCAAATAGGAAATTTATTAGATGTGTGTATTAAACTTTATTGATCTTTCATGGGAAGTGAGTAATTCGTTTTTCATCGATTCTGCAGAAATACACTTTTTGAGTTACACTAGTTAGTTTTTACACTATTAAATCAACAGCGCAAGACATATTGTCTTTCAAAAACGATAAGTGAGAATCTGGAGATCTCATTAGAACCTCAATGGCCGCACGATATTTCCTCAACAGTAACAACAGAAAAACGGCACGGGACGCATTTCACTGTCAGATTTCAAAGACTTGATGTGCAGCCTGAAGCACTGGCAATTGGTGTTCAAATCGCACGCACGCGAAAAAATGGGTGTGCTGCGCGCGGAGAGGCTGCGCGACGCGTTGCGCGAGGTCGGATTCGCAGTGCCCGAACGCGCGCTGGCGTTGCTCGTGCTGCGGTACATGAGAAAAGACGGCATGCTACGCTTTGGTGATTTCGTCTCTGCGGTCTTGCATTTACATCGGGCATTTAGTAAGTACATAATGTTGAATTACAATTAGCCCTATGTATCCCACTGCTGGGCAAGGGTCTCCACCTGATTCCTTCACACATCCCGATTATTTCTTTTTACCTGGGGTAATCTGCTTACAGATACCCCGGCCCTGCGGGGGCAGAGCCGGGGCTATGTGGGACGGGGCTGAACCCCAAACCCCTAGGGTATTCTTCCTCTTCGCTGTAGGTGCGGGTACCGTATGGTGCGTCCGCGCCTCCACCAGAAACACATCGGTCCCCGACTCCTGACGTAAGACTCGCCGAACACCAGACGAGCCTTCCATCCCGGGCACCTATATGCTGAGCAACAATACTCCCCCAAGTCCGCTATCCAGGGGCCATGGGGGCCAGGCCAACATCCCCTTAACTGTAAAATTCAATGGACACTCCTCCAACCCACGCGGCGACGCATCCCGATCCTGAGCTAACTGAATCCAAGCTTTATCGTAGGCATCCAGGTCGTCACGCCATCGCGTATTCGTCCGCCACGGCGCCTTACGCGTTTGGGGCTCTACTGGGTAGTTATTTTGGTACCTGGTCATCAGGCATGCGGCAGAAAATATCGCTGTCCCGCTCCAATAATTTATGGCCGAGTCCGCAGCGAGTAAATAATCTTAATATAAAAGACTCGAATTCGATTACAATCGACTTGCGTCGGTTTCGATGCAACAGAAACTTTAGTCCATACGAGTTTGAAATGGAAAATAAGGTCATGCTTATTAATATAATGTTTAATATTCTAATTTCAATAAACCACATTTTTTTATATAATATCACGTGACGGAACGAATAAGTTGCGGGCCTGGTGGTAAGCGACACGCCTATCCATAACAGTTGCCGTGTCACTCGGAACTTTAAATCACAAAGACCTGAGGGGCAAATCCATTACGCCCGTCACTTTGAGACAAGTTGACAAGTCCCATGTGCCTGTAATTTCACCAGCACCCTTACCCTTCCAAAACGTACACAGTAATGCCCATACTACATTGCTGCTACTACAAATTTACCTCTCATGGTTGTACTTCACATATCTATCTGTATTTGCGTATTTGACTCCATGTGTAGACGGTCATATTTGCCAGCCTTTGCTTGTTCTTTCTTTCATACATCTTTTTCGCATTATTACTGGTAGGTGTTCCCGTTAACGACTCTACCTACTACTTTGCCTTTTTATTGGTTTACTTGTGATTAGGAATCGGGAGGGGGAGGGGCAATAATTTGCGCTGTATAAATATGGTTTTTTCACTGCTTCTTGTCTATACAACTTACTTCAATTTACATAAAATGTAATGGCAATGTTTACTATTTCCACGTTGTTGTTTTAGTAGTACATTAACATTTAAGCTTTGTTATTATTTTTTCAGACGTTTTCAACACAAACGATTCCTCGCAAAGCGACAACATAAACTTAAATCTATCTGAAGTAAGTTTAACGACTTTTTCTCTTTCTTGGCTTTTCATAAAAACAAGTGTCACTAGCAGCAACTTGTGTCACTAGCAGCAACTTTTTCACGAATAGAAAACACAATTTTTCATATTAATGAAGAGGATTCATCTCGTTTTGCAGTGGCACAAACGCAAACCGCGAAGTGTCAGAAACAAAAAAATAATAATTTTATTTTACAATAAATTGTCGACTAAACAATAATGAGAGTCCTAATACTAGTAAAAGATTTTCTGCCTTGTCGACTCTCTCTCTCTTTTCAATATCCAATTAATACAAATGTTTTTATTTTTTTATTTCAGTGGCTAAAATGCGCCTTGATGTGTTAGCTGCAGCCGATCTGCGAAGCTTTCTTGAGGGTAGTTTAATACTTTAAATAAAAGCGTGCAGTTGTAAGAATTTATAGCGACAAAGAAAACCGTGTTTCAACAACCTATGGTTTTTCGTTATTTTGATAAAGCGTCGACATGGAGACGTCAAAATAACGAAAATGATTAGTTGGCAAAAAAACTCTGCCCGCTATGGTACAGTCGGTGCCCTCACTTAGGTATCCATTATTTGTACTTAGTACAAATAGTGGATACATAAGTGAGAGCACTGACTGCACATTATGTGCCGCATCTCAGCACAATGGTTGCGACGAAATTATCAAATGCTAATTATATGGTACATTTGTAAAAATGTCACCCCATACTATTTTTAATATATGTACTTAAAAATGCATAAACAACTCGTATTTAGGACATTACTGCCCGTATCAATAAACAGCTTCAAAGTCACTCACTCGACTTTAGTGTGTATCGGCTGAGATGGTACTCGAGATTTCAAGTTCTCGTTTGTTAATGCTTTTTCATCACACTTGCACGTAAATAGTACGATTGCATGCAGTCTACCTTGACTAGTATGCCCCAAATAAAACCCTCGGGCCTTTTTCTTCTCATTACAGCCAAGGTCAGTCATGAGTTTTTTCATTTAATAAATTTCATTGCCGACCATGGCTGTAATGAGCAGAAAAAAGGCCCGAGGGTTTTATTTGAGTTTTAAGTTAGCCTGCATGCATTCATGCTATTTACGTTCAAGTATGATGAAAAACATTTGTATGTTTCATGGGCGGTGCGGAAATTACGAACCTCGACTCCGTTCGTATAATTCCTCATTTACCGCCCATTAATACACAATGTATTGTAACCATCTCGATCTCGGATCATTCCTCGCTATAATCGCTCAGCAAGCAACAACGCTTAAGTCCAAAATTTGCGGGTTTTTTTCTTTTGAACGTATAGATCACAAGCCGTGAATGTCAATGAAAATGATGTAACCACACCCGCACAATTATTTATTTCCAATAAATAAACTGCCCTGATAAGCCGAAAAGCGCTATCTCAATCGGAGTAAGTTTTGAGAAAATCGACTTTTTGTAAATTGCATTTTATGTAATTGTATTGTATTTAAAAATACTTCTTAGTGGTTTTTTAAATGTTTTAAGTTAGATAGCGCTATTTCTATTATACCATTAGATGCGAAATTTTTATAGCTATTGAATGGCATAAAAAAAACTAAAAAGGCGTAACTCAGAGATAGCGCCTTTCGGCTTAGCAGGGCAGTAAAGCACCTTATCAAAAACAATAGCTTACAAAATATGTGTATACAATAATGTATACAGTTTTTCAGATTCTTTTAAAATTATTAGAAATTACTTGAGCGGTGTTGTTTGTCAGATATCTCGAATGGCACACAACCAATTAGTAGCCCACGATACACTCTGATTTAAGTAAGTCTTAATGTCGATCCTGTACATGATGTTAATACGTACGGGCCTAAATTTCGAAAGATATTTACAGCGATGACAGAAATGTTTACAGCGACTGTTAGCTGTAATGCTGGGGCCGCAATTGCATCTACCGCCACGAAGCCTAGCACAATGATCGATACACGCAGGTATAACGAACCATTATCGGCTATTGTTGCGAAGGTTCGGCCTGCATGCAACACATACAACAAGTTGATCAACGTGGTCATAATAGCGTTGTTCAATTCTACTGTTATTCTCGGACTGATTAGAGGCACCGTCTAAATGCTGAAGTGAAGGGACATAATTATAACTTTCTTTTAATAAATAACCGACCTGAAAAGTTGGCGAAATTAGGGGGTAGCGGGGCAGACGTGACACACCTTAGAGCTCAAGATTCATAGGTCAAATCGACAATGGAGCCAACGTTTTCGAGCAATTAATGTTCGAACAAACGGTATTCTATCTCAAGTAGGAAACACTTTAACGGAGAACATACGAAGTTTCGGGAAGCGTTGCTTCGCGCGTGACGTAGACGCAGGTGCGGCCCCAGAATAAGCGTAGGTACACTTGTCACAACGCTAAGTTTGTAGATGTAAAGTACTACTGCAATTTATGATATAAGGAGCATAATTAAATAGTCGTAGAACGGCAGCTAGGTTTAAAGATTTATTCGCACTTCTGTTAACAACACAAGCACGGGATGAAATCTCAACGGAACGAATACTCAACGCATTTTTGTTAGAAATTAAGGTATAAATTGTTTTTTGATTCGTGAATCGATCTCGTCTAAGCTAGGAGCTTCCTTTTGTGTGTAAGTACAATGAGTAGATGAAAAGAAGATCCGTTCCGAGTAGCTATTTAGCTGCGGATCTCCACAGCGAACACGTCAAAACACTGAGTGTCGTAATTCAGTGCTCACTGCAATACTCAAGTCAGGACTTGAATATTGCAGTGAGCACTGAAAATCATACTCAAGTCCTTGCAATTAGGGTCGTATTTCCAGTGCTTGAAATCATACTCAAGTCTGCTCAAGTTCTGACTTGAGCATTGAGTAAAGTTCTGGAATACGACCCTGAAACACTCGAAATCCGCACGAGATAAATATCAAATTATCATCAAATTACCTTTTTTTAATTACTGAATAGTTTTCTGTTGCAACTTTTTTACACTCGATATAATGATGATGTCATCTGTTCACTTTTTGCAGGAAACATAAACCTACTGTGTTGATATAACCTACAAACAAAATCTCGTCCAACCTTTCCACAACCTTGACAAAGTCTGGCAAACTGCATATAATACGCTTAAAGTTATAATAGATTCAACAATGCGCAACGGACCGGATTCTTTCATCTACTCGTAGATATTTTATCTCTAACCTCAATTCGAAACTCATGTACTATCAACAGCAAACGAAGCACTTTTTCAATATGAATATTACCGCAGGCACCAAATGACGAACAAGTTGCGGGTCTGATGCTAAGCAACACCCTGTCCATAACAGTTGCAGTGCCACTCAGTATCTACTATATCATACTAAATCACAAAGATCTGAGGGGCACTGCCACTGCGCCCGTCACCCTGCGACATAAGTTGACAAGTCCCATGTGCCTGTAATTTGATCTTACACTTCAAAACCGGAATGCAGTAATGCTACGGTTTGGCGGCAGTACTTTCCTGGACGAACAAGGAGCTCTACGCTACTATGGTGTCGTGTTGCGGGGTCCATTGATTTGAGATCGACCAGCTGATCATAACGTGACGTTGGAACTAGCCTATAAAAATCTATGCTCACTTTAACGGCCGATAGTAGCATCAGACCCTCAGAACCTCGCCGCTTTATTAAAGACTACCAGCATAGGTCTCTGCACATTATTTACTAATGCACATTATTTACTAATGCACATTATTTGGTAAAGTTAGTTTTTTCATACAGTTCATAAAGATAGACAAATTTCAAACGTGTAGGGTCGGGTGGTTGACAATGAACCACCAAAATTTTTAAGTTT